TTGACACTTCATAATGTTTTTATTTATTATGGGTAGATTCGTTTTGCAAAATTTTTGTCTAAGCTTGTTCTTAAGAATATTCAAAATGAATTTGTTAAGAATTATTTACACCATTATTACACCATTACACCATTACACCATTATTACACCTTCACCACCCGATTCTTTTTTTTTCTTTCTTGAAGATGTTTTATCACCTCAGTTTTGCAACTAAATTAAAGTAACACAATATATAGCACTATTGTGTGTGTGTGTTTCTTCACTTTTTAGCAAACTTAGTATTGTTCTTCATTTTCAACCCGCTGTTCATAGTCACCCCTGTTGACGGTAGATGTTGTGAACTTGTAGCTGTTATAAAATATTAAAAACCTGTATAATAGACAGAGAAGCATTAGTATCATTTTTACCAACAAATCTTGTCCTTGTGAAGTGCATACAAGTTTCCAACATGTTCTCTCATTGAATGAGCAAAGATGTTGCAAACTTGCTTGCACATAACATGTTTTTTTATGTTGCACTTTTATTGTATGCACTTAACAAGGTTTTTATGTTGCATTTTTATTGTATGCACTTAACAAGGACAAGTCCACAGTCTAGTAAAGTGTAGCATATTTTTTTTTTGCCTAACAACTTTCAATTTCTAGACTGTGAATAAAGTTTTACAGTTTTTATATATAGTGTTTTGCTTGTGGTTTTTTACTGGAATTTGCAGTTTACAACATAAGCTTTAAAAAATAAAAATCAAATACCAATATAAAAAGACATATAAAATGCTTGTTTGGAAATTTAAATTTTAAGACATATAAAATGCTTGTTTGGAAATTTAAATTTTAAGACATATAAAATGCTTGTTTGTAAATATTTAAGAGAAGAGTAAAGATTCTAAATAACTAGTAATGTCTTTTACTTTTAAATTTAGTTAATGGAATGATTTTTATTTCCTTTATAAATATTTAACTAATTTAATGTTTTAATACATATTTCAATATTTTTTAATATTTAACTTGCTGCTATATGGTTTAAAAAAAATAATAAATTACCAACTAATTACAGAATAAGTTTGATCGGTTTTGGATTATTCTGAAAGGAGTTCGAACTAAAAATTATATTCTAAATACCATTTTGTATATAAATACAGAGTTTACAAGAGTATTTACAGTATAAAATAAGCTGTTGCATCTCGGAATGAAATGGTAAATTTTAGTGAGGTTGAAAAAACGAAACGAAGCAATTTATCGTTTTGGAAGACATTCGCTTACTTTTTAATTTACCTTTACCATCTCGCTTCATTTCGAGACAAAACAAGACTTTATCCAAAAACCTCTAATTCTTTTGCTGTACCAAATTTAATAAAAATTAACAATTTTTTAAAAAAAAATTACAGTATTTTTTTCTTGCAAAATATTAGGTAATGCTTCAGCAAATCTCGTTGTTTATCTAAAAAGTTTTTTAGTTTTAAATGAGTAAGTTTTTTAAAAATGGCTTCTCGAATAAGAATTTGTATTCCTATTGATATAGTTTTGAATTTAATATTTATTTGTTTTTATAATATGTAGTTATATGTTTATATGGTTATAGTTTCACATTATAATGTATATATTATATACTCATATAATTATAATTAAAATGGTTGTTACGCAAACAATAATTTCTAAAAATCGTTCAGAATAACGATTAGCGATTGCGGAATAAGTAATTAGAATTACACGGAATATCATTGCTAAGAGACTGATTCTGCACGAAAAATTCTCCTCAAAGGGGTTGTCCATTAATTACGTCAACAAAATGGGTGGGGGGGTGGGTCTGAACTTATTTGACAAAAATGACACGGGGGAGGGGGAGGTCAATTAAAGTTGACGTCAACAATTTTTTTTTTTTTTTTGAGTTTTATTGCTTAAATAACGGAAAATTAGGCTGAGCCTGTAGAATAGTTTCTTTGATAAAAGAAACTATTCTACAGACTCAGGGGAGGGGGGTAATCAAAGCCTAGGGGAGGGGGGTAATTAAAAGTTGACGTAATTTTATAGGAGGGTCTTTGGAAATTTGACAAATTGTTGAGAAGGGGGGGATATAGAGGTAAAAATTTCAAAAAATTTGTTGACGTAATTAATGGACAGCTCCAAAAGACATGGCTCTAATTTTATTAGAGGTAGAAAGAACGACACGAGAAGACTACATACAGTTAATATAATAAATAGTTGCAACAATTTAATATATAGATATAGAAATAAATATCAAACAAATATTAAAGCAGTTCTCTTTCTTATAGTAAGTAAGAAGAAAAAACATTATTTGCATATATATATATATATATATATATATATATATATATATATATAAATATATAAATATATAAATATATAAATATATATATATATATATATATATATATATATATATATATATATATATATATATATATATATATATATATATATATATATATATATATATACACACACACACACACACACACACACACACACACACACACACACACACACACACACACACACACACACACACACACACACATATAAATCATAATACATATAATACATACATAGACATATAAAATAACATATAAACATATAATCTAAATTATAGATTTATGTTTATATGTTGTTTTATTAAATTTATTTATTGATTATCCAGTTGAAGGTGCAACGGGTACTAATGCTGATCGGGTCCAATTTACTGTTATAAAGTAAATATGAAACTTCATAATTCCTAATTTTTTGTAGTGTTAGTATACAAGAATAAAAACCATAATAAAGGGTTTATTTTTGATAAAATATAGTTTACAAAATCGAATTACAATAAACTTCTATTTTGTTTCTGCTTGGTTAATTTCGGAATTTCTCGCGTCTTGTCTGGCCTGATTTTTCAACAATAAAATTTTTCCCATTACTGTTATTTTTTCTCGTTTTAATTTTAACTGATTTCTCGTTACCGTTTAAATTGATTCCGAGATGCAACAGCTTAGTATAAAATTTGTACTTTTTGATAATAAAGCATTTATAAGTGTTAAAATCAGTTGTAAAATAGAACATTTTTAAAAAAGCCCAAATATATTTTGGTTTTTTTTTAAGGTGGTTTTTTTTCAAGGTGGTTTTTTTTTTCCCAACCCTGCTTCAACTATGCTTTGAACAAGCCTGAAAAATCAAATTATTTTAAATTGGTTATCACTTTGCTAGACCATCTGAGTACTGAGTTTAACATAATGTTTTATGATACAACTTTAAAGTGTTATAAAGCACCTGTCTTTTAGTTTCTTTGTTCTTATCTTTAGTTTCTTTAAAAAACGATTGCAGAAGTTCAGTGTTCTTGCTATACTAGTTGGAAAGACCACATCATATCTTTGAGTGCCTTTTATTTGACCAAAGGCTTTATTACGTGAGTTTGACCTGTGGAAAATTTAGTTGATTCACTTAACTGGCTGAATTTCAGAAATAAACTCCAATATAACAATATAATAATACTGAAACATTACAAGCAAAAAATTTTTCTTTACTGAGGCGCCTTAAAGGTTATAAGAAAATGGTAAGAAACAGTTGCAAAGCAAAATGGTAAAGTTTAAATGGTTTAGTTTAGCTTTTTACGCAGAGTTTTCTATAGATAGTAAACAAGTTTATATTTTTAAATTATTAGTAAATTCTATTTAAATAAATATTGAAATACTATTGTTTTATTTATAAAGTGTCTGCCCAAACCTTAACACCCAGTCGATGTATGACGCTCCACTGCGTTTATTACTAATTAATGCAGTTGATGTATGTATTCTCCACAGCGACTATGGCTTATAAAAAAACAGCAATATTAGTTAAAACACATTTAACTACTTCAAAATAAAACATCAAAATAATAGCTCAAAATAAAATTTCCATCAGCAGGATTTGAAACCGCCACGTTGTCAGCGCCTCAGAATTGTGATATACGTTCGCACGTACAAATAATAATTTTCGTTTTTTTATTAAAGCAGTTAAAAAGAAACGCAACAGTGTTACACTAAGAAAACTCTAAACAAGTTGTAATATGCCTAATAGAAATTATTAAACGCTTTTATATCCAATTAATAATTAGCTCTTTTGTAACAGAATGCAAAAAGTCTGAAAAAAAGAGTTTGCCTGACGTAAAATTTTATGGACTTTATTATTATATTTTCAATATATTTTTTATCTGCCCTTTTGTTGCATTACATATCTATGTTTTTTTTTTTTTTTTTTTTTGCAGATTGTCTTAATCAGTTTCCGTTTTCCTTTTCTTCAAAACTTTTCTCCAAAATTGTCTCAAACTGTTTTTTTTTAATCAGTTTTTTTAGCATTTTTTTAGTGGCTGCTTTCCGAATATTGCTTTTGGCTAGTTTTTTATGTTCTGGAATATGAAAAATTTTTGGTATTGCTTCAGGTTTCATATATTTTCTCAAACAGTGACCAAATGTTTTACTTTCATCAAAACTTTTTTTAGAAAAATAATCTGAACAAATATAACTTGCTAAAGAGGGAAAAAAATTATTTCGTTTTGTTGCAAGAATCCATGCTGCTCTTTTTTTCTGTGTTTTTAGAAAACTGTTTTAATGCATTCTGTTTAAATGCATCTATTTAAATGTTTAAAAATCTCTTTAAAATACATTGTTCTGATTCATTAACCATTCTGCGCTTGGCTATTAAAATCTACATAATAAATATAAGGTTATATATAATTTTTTTCAGTCATTTTCCCGTTCAGAACAAAGTGAACCCTGTAGCAAAAAAACGTAATTTAAAAAGTTTTAAAATTTTGCAGACTCAGAACTCTAATGAAATTCTTCACCAAAATTAAACCCTAATCCCAAATCGCGTTTTAAAAATTTAGAAAGAAAAAAAGTTTACACGCCACTATTATTGATAATAACCATATTATGTTTTCTTATTATTTTTGTCTGTTGTTTTTGTGTCTTTTTTTATTATTTTTTGCTGTTTTATAACTAATTTACAAACAAAATGCATTTAAATTTTCAGTTCTTCATGCAATAGACGCCTTCCTCGCTATGCATCTCATTGTCTGTCTGAAAATTGCAGTGATCCGTTTCAATATACAGTTTCCTTTGAGATTCCACTTTCTCTAAGTGACCACACCAATGGTCAGAGTGGTTTTATGCTTATGAGAAATGTCGCTGAAAAAGTTCTTCAGATGGACGTAAGTTTTATACTATATTATAAATGTATTTTTTTTTCAAACTACTTACCAAATGTTATTTATTATTGTCAAACCTTGTGTTTTTTATTCAATAAACTACCGAGATTTGAAACTGATTAAATCAGTAAAATGGAGTAGGATGTTTGTATCAAAAGTATTTCAGAAAAACTGGTAACATTAGTTAGGCCCACAAATATAATGTAGTAATGTAAGTCCATAGACTCACATTTACCCACGGAAGGCACCAACGGAAGCTATTGTTGATGTTTTATATAATTTCTTTTGACCAACATACTCCAGCGCAAAAGATAAATAAAAAATTTTGATGTTGTTGATTTTTTAGGTAATTTCATTTAACCAACTTACTCCAACGCAAAGGACAGAATTAAAATGGAAATTTTTAATGGAAAGATTTAAAGTTTATTTTAAGGTATTTTTAATAAAAATATTTTTTTATTTACATATTTATCTAAATAATTTATTACTATTGTAATTCTTTTCAGGTAAATCCGACAAAACGTGAATCATCAAAAACTTTTATATCAGTTCTTGGAATGGAGGCCATAAATTCTATTGATTTTATAAAAAATTCACAATGACTTTTCATATTATCGTTTTGTTATAGTATATTATCAATATCAATATTATAAGATGTGTGAGTCAATAAGAGGTGTGTGTACTATACAGTATGATATAAATACACATCAGCGTAACAATAAGTAGAGATTGATAAATGACGGTTCCATTTATTGCAGTACTTTGTAGCACTAAATTAATCATGCAGGTTCATAAGTTTGTTTTCATTGTTTATAAGTTTTTTACTTATGCGATTATATTCAGACCATTTCTTCGCCTCAGACCATCCTCTGGAATGCTGTTTGTAAATTTTGTTTGTTTACGAAAGTATTTTTATATTGTTTGACAGGCAATTATGCAGATTTAATAGTTACATCTAACTGCTTATTTGATAGGTTACTTAAACAATTTTATAAAGGTTTTGCATCATATATGTATGCAAATAATATAACCTTATATATGTAATCAAATTACTGTGTTATAAAAATATTGCGTTGTTTAATCTCAGTTTTTTGTTGTTACGAATTTTGTTAATTTATATCTCGATTTTCACTTTTTTATTTCATGCAAAGTTCACTTATTCACTTATACAGTATTTAGTATTAAATTTGGTTTGATAACTAGTTTAATATATAGATTTATGTTTACTTTCACAAAGAATAATTGTTACCAGATGACTTTAGATAGCTAAGCTTTACATGATGCATAGGGGTCGTCCATAAAGTACGTACGCTTTTTTTTTGCCAACCCTCCACCCTTCCCCCGACCTACTGCACCCTTATCTCAGAAACACCATTTGCAGACCTCTTCTTCCTCTCCGAGCGTACGTACTTTATGGACGATCCCATACCTGTTATAAAGTTCTTAACTAAATCAGTTTAACTAAACCTAAAAATTCACTCATATTTCACTTGTCGCATATTGAAGAAGCAGTTTGATTTTTAAATTCATACGAGATAAGCGTTAAAAAAAAATATTGAACAGCAACTTTTTTCAATGGGTGATAAACCTATAAAAAGTAATCTGTTGAAACATTGATAAAACACTGATAAAAAGTAATCTGTTGAAACATTGATAAGAGAATTTGAGTACTCAGCAATGTCACGTACTACATATAATTGTCTCCGAGAGGACTTAGACCTTCTTAGATTACAACAAGACTAACGTCAATAATAAAATCTATTCGTGAGGATCTACCAAAGGTTATTTCAGACTTAACAGACGTTAGACATAAAAACTGAATTTTTCTATTAGATGAAGTTTATGTTAAGACTGTTGCAGTACCATGGAGGAACAAGTAAAATGCTTCCTATGCGTCAAATCGATTCAAATTTTCTTTTTGAAAAAACTACCTTTTTTTTATTTGCCATAAATGCAGAAGGTGGCCGTATTATTTCTATAGTTAGTGGTAGTAACTGGGTAAATCAAGCTTTTTTCAAGAAATTTGAGAGAAAACTTTTTGGAACCAGGGGCTATTTTAAAGAAGAGTGCCCCTTTTCATGGGCAACGACAAAAATGAGTAAAATAAAGACTTTCTTGAAAAAGCTATCGCTGAAATTTTTTTAAGTTAAAATTTTATAGTTATTTTATCGAATTAAGTTAAGCGATTTCTTTCTGCTTTTCTTTTCCGCAAACTCAGCTATCACATCGATGAAATCCTTAGACTATTAAAACTATAGACGCGGCTTTTTGAAGTTGATTAAAGCCAAACTTTTTGCGTATATACGTCACTTTTGGGCAAAAACGCAGGTAATGTAGGATCTTAGTATAAACAGTTTAGGAAATTTCTCCTTAAAAAAAAACAAAAGAAATAGTTTTTTGAGCTATTTTCTGTCAAAACATAACTAAGTTGTTTATAAAACTATTTGTCTATAAAACTATTTTGGAAAGCTATAACTTTTTAACTTAAATTAATTAAAAAGAATCGATTTGAAAAACCGGTAAAAATAACAAAAAATTATATATAGGGCAAGGGAGGGCATTAAGATTACTTTTTTTAAATACTTACAGATATTTCTATGGAAATAAATGAATATTAATATAATCTCCTTAGTGACAGACAACATATTTGTGTACGAGGCATAGCATTTTATTCGGAAAAAAAAAAATTTGTATAGTGCCAAGACAGGAAAGAAGTTGAAAAAAAAAAAAAAGTCACAAAAAAAAAGAAAAGAAGGGGGGAGGTGAGCAATAATAAAATATTTTTTACAATTAAATTTTTCATATATTGTTGGAAAGATAAATCAATGCTGATTCATATTTGTACAAGAAATATGGTCTGAAAATAAGTATTTAAGAAGTTATGATTAATTGTTCCAATCTAAAAAATTATAAGTAACACAGGGATAGATTGTAATTTGACTATTAATTTTTATAGACGGTATAATTTATTTCAAAGTTAAATCTATTTATTCATTGCATAAACAAACAAAATAAATTTTAAATCCAATTAGCAGTATATATTTAAGGCAGCACTTTAAGTTTAAATTATGGACTTACCTGCCTAAAACTCATCAAACCTAAACCCCCCCCCCCTTTCTTCCTTCTTATGATCAGGATCCAACAAATCATAAAAATGAAAAATTCAAAGCCCCCTTCCTCCTCCCTCATTACTACATGTTCTGGATCTTTTTAGTAGTTTTATTTTGATATTAATAACAAAAGCATAGTGTTACTTTATAAAATCTAAAGTAAAACTATTTGAAACAATATAGTTAACTTTTGAGTAAAAAATTAATTAAATAAACATAACTTGTTTTTTATTTTATCATCAAAATATTTTTTTGTTGATAAAATAAAAATTTTGATGATTGTGTTTTTGCACATTTGGACTGTAATTGTTTAAAAAAAAATCTTTGATAGAGGAAGTTGACGTAGAAATTGGTAATGATGAAGCAGATGATATTGATGTTGAAATGGGAGCATAATTAATACAAATACTATGAAGGTTAGACATTGATCTTGTAAAATGATTAGCTGAGAATGTAGGTTTCTTTACGGGTAACATAAAACACTGATTAAATAGGCGTGTGTCAATAGCATCTTTGTTAAAAGGAAAAAAGTCATTTCCCTTAAAACCATTTTTGGCTTGTTCCATAGTAAAGGAACTTTAAAAAAGGGTTTGCAGTAGCCCTAGAAAATGTTTTTTTGATACTGGTCCAGTATGTGAACTTGCTTACTGTGTACTGGTTATCATGTGTACTTATCCTTATGATTCAAGTCTGTTAGGAATATTTAGCATTAAATTTAGAAAAAGTTGAACATGTTGCAATTTTAAATGACAAATTTCTCAAGTGTGTCTTGCTGCACTTATTATAGTTTGTTGAAGTTTGTACATAGTCTAATTTTGTTCTTGATAACAAAAGTGCTTATTATTTATTCTATTATTTTTTATGTTGTGTCTCAAGTGTTTTCTTTTACTAACAACAATACTATATTAACATTGTTTGTAATAATATATTCCATATTTAATAGTTTAAAAAAATGTCTTTGATCATTTAAGTGACATCATCGAAATTGCTTTCAATCATTGTCATGTAATGTATTTTTAAATTTTTTTTTCATTATTTATTTGCATTTCATTTTCTGAAATACTTTTAGTATTTTTTATTGCTCTATATTTTAACATTTCTCATATTTAAGTTTCTTTTTGGATTATCAAATGGTAACAAAATGATCAATTGTAATTACACTTTATGCCTATAATTTCTATTTTTTATACAATTTTTTACTACATTTAGCATATAATTTATTCCTATGACAACAATAAACAAGTTTTATCACATTGTTAAAGTTATGGATGAAAAAAAAATCAGTGGCTGTTTTTATGTAAAAAGAATATCAATCAATATATTTTTCGATAAAAGATCTTACAATCGAGGTCATTTACAAATAGTTAAAAACTAATCTTAAGTAAATACCATGAAATAGGATTGTAATATAATAAAATTTAATTTATAATCATTTGTATTATATTCAAATGATTATAAATTAAAAGTTATTAGAATAATAAAAAAATTATATGATACTAAACCAATTTTATTTTTAAAAATTTAAATAAAACAATTCAATTTAAAAAAAAAAATAAATATAACGCAGAGACAGAAAAGTTACAAACAGTTATGTATTGACAAATGGTAACAACCTACCATATAACTAAAATAATTAGTACAAAAAAAAGTGACAATAATTTAATAAAAATAATAATCTTAATATCAATAATCATACCAAAAATGATAATAGTAAAATAATTATTTCATTAAAAAATAACAATAAATAAACTAAACAAAAATTATTTAATTAAATGTATAGAGTTTTCATAATAAATGATAATATTAAAATAAAAAAGTAAATAATATCAAGCAAACACATATCGTCACTCTAAAATAATAAAATTAAATATTATTTTTTCTTTCTTCAAAAATGGAGCAATTTTTATATTTTATTTTAATTCCTTTTTAATTACTTTCCATTTTCGAATGATTTTTTTTAATTTAATTTTGTTTTTTTTTCTTTCCTTTTTCTTTTCTCGTTTCTTGTTAATTTGTTTGATTTGTTTTTTTAATTTTTTTTAGTTAGATAACAAATGGTATTTTTGGATGACCATGCTCCTATAAGATCCACCAAATTTACCATTAAGATTATATGAATGATTATATTGATTATGATAAAAGTAATTTGTATTACTCTGGTTAGTTGTTTTATGTATATTTTTACATATATATATTTTTTCTATAGTATATAATTTTTTTGTTTGTTTTTTATTTTGAAGTATTTTCAACAATTTTTTACTATTTTGATTTTCTTAGTTACATATGACTTAACAAGAAAAAAATTACCCAAGGCAAAAGTTTCTTAAGATTTTTTTTCAAACGACGAGGGTAAGACCTGATAAATTTAAAAGTAAACAGATTTCAGTCCTACCAGGTGATGATCATGATGATTGCAATGATGATATGATATACGTGATAATATTGAGCGTATGTAATTTAGATGATGATATCATGATGTTGGTTTACTTTCATTATTTTATAAAAATGTATATTATCACAAATTTGTATATTTAAATTCAAAAACTGACACTCCACAGTTACTGAAAAAAAAAAAAAAGTTGTAAATAATAAAAAAAGACACTTGTTCCAGCCCGTTCTATTCCTCCTTTTACATTTTTATGTATTGAAAATTTGACTTCTTCAGATCATTTAAAAATAAATAATTTTTTAAAACAAGGGTCTGCTTCTAAAGATATAGAAGAGGATGTATTTTTATACTTTTTTTATTTGAATACTCTTTTTTCTTTTTGTAACTAAATTTCAAAATGTTCTGAAACAATATTTTATTTTAAGAAAATAGGACACAAATATGCATCAAAGTTTAGGCGTACTTTTTTCAAAAGTAATGAGTTAGACAACTGATGGGGTGGAGACCCATCTATTTCTATGGTATTGTATTTTATTAACAAGAAAGTTGTTTTTTTTTAATGAAGAATTTATTTAAAAAAAG